TCACCTGAAATGTCACAACCACGTCTCCCAAATTATGGGATCATACTTGCAGTGGCACACTCAGCTGCTGTCTATCTGCTCAAAAACTCAGACCTTCTTAAACACTTTACGCATCTCTCCTCTCTGCACTACTTTCCACTTAAACAATTGAGTTCAAAATTTTCTTCAGGACAGTCTATGTCCTGGGGCAGTATCTAAACAACCAACTTTCAGGACTGGGACTGTTGTGGATCTCCCTGCCTCACACTTCACCTGAAGGAGTAATTTCTACTTTCCCAGCAGGAAAATGAGATCAGGGCCAGGTAGGAAAATCCCCAAGCTGCACACTGTCACAACCCTGCCCTGCAGTCAGAGTCCTCCCATTTGGAGTGAGGGAAGAGAAAACCACCTGTAACAAAAGCAGTGCTTCTCAGTAAAGGGTGTTGTGGTAACAGCAGTCAGAACATTGTGCGTGCAGTACCAAAAAGATGTGCAGTGATGCTGCCCATCCTGCAGCTAAGGACTAGCAGTGCAAATGCTCCTGCTGCTAGTAGGCAGCACCCTACTCTGCATAGCTCAACCCCATTTTCAAGAGTCCAGTGAGCCACCTGCACTGATATAGTTAACACTCTTTGGAAAACACCACCAGACCTGCCAAAATGTTAGTGACCCATTACTGTCCCCCTGCACTGACACAGACCTGTATCGCTTACTTCCAGGTGAAGAAAGGAAAGGAGGAACTTCTACCTTCTCAGGTTTGCTCCCTCATCTTTGCTGGGGATTACTTCACTGCAAGCAGCCCCAGTACTACTGCCATTTACAGTAGCAATCACTCCGTCCCCTCCTCTCCCACAAACCTACTGCTGATATTAGCACTGATCATACTAACAAGCCTGTGGGTTTTATTACTACTGATACTAATAATACTGGACACATTACGTCTGCTCCCGCCAATAACAGGCTGCAGATATGATCCCTCCTAATGCCGATAATACTGGGGGATATTATCTCGGCCATTGTCGGCACTGCAGATATTATTGCCAGTAATGCTGTCAAATACTACAGATATTGTCGGGGACCAAGATTAATAATGCTGAGATTCTTATGGCACCAGCCTCACTGGAACACAAATCCCAAATGAGAATTTGGGTCTATAGAGGAAGTCTGTTTGTGGCCTGCTATTGAGAGAAAGAGCTATTTCTAATAAGAGTGGTTTTGTAAAGATCCCAAAAGTTTCACCCAGCTGCAGATGCTGTGGTATGCAGGGAACAGTTTGAAACATTGTTTTCATATTATCTCATTATCTGTCTGTCTATCCATCCGTCTATCTATCTGTCTTTCCCTTTTTCCCCATGTCTCCTTTTTTCTTCTTATGCAGTGCTCAAGACTACAGTACGAATGATACTGATTTTTTGTTAGTGCCTCTGGGTCACCCCAAGTCTCATCCTTTTAGCTGTCAAACAGGGGCCTATGGAACAACAGAAATATTTTAATATTATTTTTCGCCTTTATCCTTCTGGACTTTGTATTGCTGCTCCTTAGTCTGACAATGACCCTGCTGAGCTTGGCCTGCCATCACAGCATAGTACAGCATTAGGATCATCAAGAGCCAGGAATTCCTGTTTCCAGGTGCAGCTTGATACTGCAAGACCCTCAGTGGTCTTGGGAAAGTCATTATATGCTGCAGGGCCACTTCTGCCTCTGGAAGATGGTGGGTGTAAGTGGTGGGGAAGGTCAGAAGGAAATTACAGTGACATTGGCCGTGCCCATAGGCTGCAAGAAATGGCACATACTGTACTACACAAGTGGTGGTGAACTTTTTTAGCCAAATTATTTTCAAAATCGTAGGAGACCAACCCTCTGCGTTGTCTAATCTGTCACTGAAGTCAGAGGGTTTACAATCACTGGTCAAAAACTGAAACAAAAGGAATACATGGTCTTAACAGGGAAAATCCTGACCATCCTTCCTAGACACTCACCTGAGAAAGACACACTGAGTTTTGAGGAAAGACTTGTGATCTGACAGTTCCTTGTTGTGACTAGGTAGACACTCAGAGGTACCTCCCTGCTAGCTCGCTCTCAATGCCATAGTCTTCCCAGGCCACCCTTGCGGTTGCAACCAGCACGCTTGGTAGGGTGGGATTTCCCCTCTTCTTTCTAACTCCCTGCGAGGGACACACCTGGCTGTCAGCGTCCACCGCTGAGCCCACCTCATGCATCGTCTGGCTCCTTCTGTCCAACTCGGGAGTTCTGCTACATCATCTTGACACATAATTATCTCTCCCCTTCTTAATCATCTGTGCTACTGTCTAATGTAGGCACCAGCTGCAGCAAGGAGGACCTGGGGGAGGGGGTATGCTCAGATAGAGGCTCCTCTGTCTTTCTCCCACCCTGTTCCCCCCAGCCATCACTGAGGTTGCTAACAAGGTTTTCAGAACCGGGGATTCAGGAGCAGCTTGGTGCATCCCCCCATTCTGCTGAACTGCATTCCTCACAGAGGAATCCTTGCAGCAGAGCTGGTCCAACAGAGCAGAAAGAAAGAGAGAGCAGTGCTGCTGCTTCTGCCTCCTTTAGAGAAGAGCCATCCCCAAAATGCTGGGAAAGTAGATGTGCATTGGGAGCTCATAAGGGCTTTTCAACATGAGAATAAACCCTGCAGTTAAGATACTGCAACAAAACAGTGCTCAGAAGCTCTGGGAAATACTGAGAAGGTGTATACATCCAACGTGAGCACAAAAGAATATCTGCACTGGATTTTTTGCCTGGCTTTCCTAATCTCCATCTCAGCTAGGAACAATAAGAGCCCTCAGAGCTACAGGGGAGATTGCCCAGGAGTGAGTGCAGGTCACTGGCTGCGCAAAACCTCCCCTTGGACCCTTCTAGCCTTAGGACCCAACCCTGCAAAGTAATGATGTCTTTCAGCATATCTTAAGGCCAGTGTGAGCCCAAATAACTCAATTCCTGGCTAGGGGTGTTCAGCAGCTGGCGGGGGTCCCATGTGAGGTTTCTCTGGGACAGGAGCACGATATCTCCCTGCATCAGATATCTGTGATGGCAGGATGAAGGCTGTTCTCTAAGGCAGTTGCAGCTGTGTCATGTAACTGTCACCTAAAACTCTGAGAGCTAAAGGCAAGCAATGTCTCCAGGATTGTCTGGTACCTTTTTGATACCTAGTGGGTATGTGGGGTCTTGGCCAACAGCAGGGAGTTGCACAGTGTTGCTTGCCCTTCATAAATCAAATCTGGGATGAATTAAGGACAGAGAGTTGTTCTTGCTGTCAATATATCATTGTGAAGTGTCTTAGATGGATGCTTGGTTGTTTCTGTGTTTAATTGTACTGCTCCAGAAAAACTCAAGTACTGGGGCTGGAAGTGACTGTGTGGCTGCATCTAAAGTGGGATGATCTTCCTAGGTATTTGGAAAGACTAGCCACTAAAACCAGATTGAACGGCTTCATTTCAAAATGAGATATAGAGGCACCATGTTGAGAGCTGGTGATTGCCACACTGGACTATATAACACGGGTTCACAAAAACACCAAATAACTGCCAAGAGATTTGCACAACCATTAGAGAAACTTGTCACTCTCTTTGAAATGTCACTATTTCCTCTATATGTAATGATGGGAAATGCTGGAAGGGTTTGCAATGTTTACAGTCTCTTATTCCTGACATTTTTTGACTTTGAGACATTGACTTAGCCCTTCCATTGCTACACTTTTCTCTTAGCTGGGCCCTACTGCCATCTAGCTGGGAAATGGATCTTCCTCTGGGGCCTGATCCAATTTCCAAAAACATGAGCAAAAATCTTCCCATTTGCTTTAATAGGAGCTGGATTGGGTCCTTGCCTCTAGTTTTACTTAGTACTAGGGGGAAAAGGGTCACAATGACTGCCTTTTTCTTTGTGATTATTGTGTTTATTTGGATAAAAAACTTACAGATGTGAACCTCACCAGAACCAATGCTGAGAAAATTACTAGTAAAACCACAAAATGCAGCATGTCTTTCAGGAGAGCTTTCTCTTCTCGCCACGTATCACAGAGAAACCTGGTATTCTTTTGCACTGCACAGCCTTGGGGTTACAGCACACTGAGCCACCTGTACTGCTAAAAGGTCCCCGCACACAACAAGCAACAGTGGAAAACAACATACCGAAGGCAGGGCTGAACCAAACAAACAGGCCAGGCACTACTCTTAGAAAAGTTCACCTTCTGGCCCTCAATTTTTGAATGCATCAAATTAAAAGAGCAAGATTTATGAAAAAAAAAAAAGTTTACAAAGCCACCATAAAAGCGCCAAGACCTTACCCACCCCTCCTGACTCAGTCTATCTAGACCTGAGGCTCCAGCTTTGGCTCATTTCAGGATTCACTTTGCCCTGAGTCCTTCCCAGCAGGTGGGCAGGAAAAGGAGATAGCTTAATCCTAATTCCTTAGAGCCCTAGCGAAAGGCTTAAATAACAACCTTAGGGCCACAGTGCTCAGAAAACCTCCTGTTCTGCTTTCAGACTGTTGCAAGCATGGCAGTTCTGCTGTGGTAGATGCTACAACTGGGCCCTTACGACCACTAGCTAATGTAGCTCATGGCATGTCACAGGGCAGGAACTTTTTCGCACGGGGAATGGAACATAACTCCCACATTGCTGGTGCTTCTCCGAGATGGCATTTTGTTTGAAAACGAGTGAGTCGGGGAAACCATGTTTACCCGCAGTTCAAAGTCCGGGCACCTGCTGGCACCTGGGGAGTTCAGTTCCAGCCATTTCCAGCAGTGAATGAACTTGGAATCAGCTCCAGCAATGGAGACGGCTCTCTGCCTGCCGAGCAGATGTCTGGAGACACAGCCTGTCATGAAAGGGCCTCGGAAGAAGAGCATTCCAAGCCAGCAGGGCAGTGGCGGGGAACTGGTCTCTGTTGCTAAAACTGATCTAGCCCCTGGAGCAGCTGCAAACCTTGGCCTGAAATTGGAGCCTGTACATGGGGACAAAGAATATAAAAGGGAGGATGAGCTTCTCCCCTCCCCCTACCTTCATCACGTTTCCTCTTCTCGCCATTCGACCGAGGAATCCCCAGGATCCCGTTAATGGAGTAAGAGCCCACTGGATCATTGGAGGCACTGGAGACGGGAGGGGATGCTGTGCTGGGCACTGGACAAAAGGAAAAGGGAAAAAGGGCCATGAGGAGAGCAGCACAGCACTCAGGGATCCCCCAGCTGAAAGCTATGCATGCCACCAGTCTCATAGGAAAGCCTGGGCACTTAAGCAGACTCCCAGTCCCTCACACTGAAGGACTCATAGTCGCTCTACTGCTAATGTTGCTGCATCCCAGCTTTGCCAGTCCGTTCCTATATCGTAGCTCCACAGCCTTCCAGTGCAGGGCCATTAATAACGAGCAAGTGTGTTCCGTCAAGAAGCTAAACCTTGTTATATCCCAGTTCAGAGCAGGCTTCCCAGTGCATGCCATGGTAACTGAGTGCAATGCTGCATACGCCACATTCTCTAGTAACTTCCTAGTCTATCCGTATTTTGTCATATCATTTCCTCTCAGCATTTTTCCACCAGGACTACACATGTACTATCTTAGCCAGACCAGCCTCTTATGTGTCCACCCAGAACACTCATTGAAAAATTACATTCTTTGCATAGGTTAGAAGCACTTCAGTGTTGGGCCAATAAATTCAGTTCCCTACTACAACAAATGGTGAGTTGGTGATACATACTCCAACCCAGATTAATAAAAATCTAGTTTCTTCCTTTTGCACTGACCAATGTCAACAGGCAGAGTCCTCCTGCCACTTAGGGCTGTCCAGGGTTGCTCATGAGTTTCCAATATATCAGAAATGACAAGTCATCCAGATTAGAAATGATCAGTTCATGATAATCAGGGCTTTAGAGTAGAGAACAAGTAGAGCTATGCATCCAGTAGGCATGCCCATTATGTCCCAGCATGTCCCGGTAATGGGGAGAATATCCTAATTCTCTTATAGGCCACTACCCATCATTCAGCTCATAAAGCACTGACGTGACATAGTCAATACCTCCAATACATGCTTTCCAGGATGGAGCAGAACCTGTCAATGCTATCCGATGTAGACCCACGCTTCCCAATACATCCCAGAGCAATGAGAGACTCCAGTAGCAGCACTCACAATCACTATCCCACCTCAGCCAATGCATTCCCTAGATATTGCACTACTTTTCCAAGAAGGAATAATATCTGCCACCTCCATCTGTTGCGGTCAGTGATTCCCAGTCCAGTGAACAAGTCCAGATTAAAAGGGCATCCAGAAATGCTCTTCCATACTGGCCCATTAATTTCATTGTGCTCCTGAGCACAGTTCATGTACAGGATTATATCTGCCAGCTCTGTCCCAAGTAGACCAGTACCTTCCAGTAAATGCTTGTATGGCAGCTGATTCTCAGTAGCCAACAGTATCTAAGATAGTGTCTTAGGTCACAAATAATCCACTGTATTTCACAGTATCCCAGAATACTGCATGTTTTTTCCTGTTCTGAATTGTTACTGGATAAAGCTATGCTAGCGACAGCAGATCATACAGCCCACAGAGACATCAATGAAAAGTACCTCATCACACATCTAGCACAGTACCTTTAAATGCAACCGACTAGGAGACATTTGGTCACTTTATTACAAGCCTCCATTTTCTGCTCACCCCGATAAACCCATCTCCCCCAGCAGAAGATGCATTTTCTCAGTGAAATGCACCCATGGGATACCTGACTGCAGAGCTAGAACAATGAAGAACTCAGTTGTGAGGCAACAGGAATATCTTACCCTGGTCTGTGTATTACTAGCTTAATAGTAATAGAAATAGATTGGTTCCAGCAAAAGGAGAGAAGAGAAATTGGGATAGAGAGGAGAAAAGATAGTGAGTAAGAAGGAGACAAAAGGTGAAGACAGGATAGCAGTAAATACTTCTCTCTAGGGAGGTGAAGGAGAGAGTGTGAATGTGAAATGGAGGTTAAGGCAGAATCACTTTGGGCAGAGCCCTACCTTGGGCTGGTTTCTCTGCCATGATTCCCTTCTCTGCAATGCAATGAGGAGAATGAAGAACAGACACCTCTGATTTCCACTGAGGTTTCTTTTTCCCCACCCCCTCCACCCTTTTGGTCTGCTTAGCTTCTGCTTGTCAGACTTCGTTCCTTCAACTAAGCTTCATCCTCATTTGCACTTGTCCTGTCACCACCCCTCCTGCCAGTCTTCTTACCGATAGTATGTCCTGGTGCAGTCACACCTGTCCCGCTCCCATCTGGTGTTGGGTGAAAAGGTTGCTGAACTTTGGTTCTGATGATCCTGGAAAAGAGCAAAAGATGTTCAGAACTCAACTGCAACTTCTCTGTGCCTTTGCACACCCACAATCCCAGCTGTTAGAACCTGAAGCCCCATCTGAGCTCTCTGTGCAGCAGAGTGGCTTCATTTGCCTTCTTGTGATCCTGATTCTACTGCTTTAATGGTCCGGTTCCCAGAGAATGGTCCTTGCTCTGCCCTGTCACCTTCTCCCCAAACTTGGGTATTCACTGCATAACTGTGGTACTCAATGAATGAGCTAGGATCTCCTGTGTGTTAGCAACTCATTATCATTTATGATCTGATCTGCCAGCACGACCACAATGCCATCTTTGCAGCTAACAGAGCCACTGCTGGATTTACAAATGGTGTAGATTTAATTTTATTGTGTACCTGTCTGGCATAGAACTGAATACTTTGAACTGATGGAAGGCTTGCCCAAAGCCCTTGCCCTTCGTAAATGAGAAGGTGGGAGCAGAAGGCATCTGTAGGAAGTGCTGATGGGATACAGATCACCAGGAAAAAGAAGCTCCAGCAAAGAGGGCAAAAATTGGTGTTGATCAGGTAGTGAATGAACACAGTGTGGGAACCCCAAAAGATGCCTCAGTGTATGCTACAAAGCTCATAATGCAGCTTGGAATGAAAATAAACTGAACTGTAATTGTTTCTTGTGACATGAAATCTTTCACCACTAGGTCACTGGTTTAAATCCAACTGTCAGTGGTGAAGGAAAGTCACTAGCACCTAGTACTTGACTGGCAGGGTCCCTGCCTACTGGCAGATGCTGGGTATCTGTGACTCAGGAATGACTGTCTCGCCAAGAAACTTGGCAAATAAGCCATGACCTGTGGAGGCCATGAAGACAAAATTCCTTTCTGAGATTAAAATGAGCCTCTCCAGTTAGGGTGAAGGCTGCAGATACTCTTCAGCCTGAGTTTCTGGAACTCTCAGCCCTGCATTATATTAGCTTTAACTTCACCTCAGAAATCTCTCCAGAAAGTGAAAGCAAGTAACACATTCTCCCTGCCCACCCAAGAGCTTCCCATAAAGATTCGTTTTAAAGAAGAAGTTGGCAAAACTGCAAAGAGCAAATGTGTGGCTAGTGGGTAGTATGGCAAAGATAGAGATAGGCAGAGGCATTGGGAGGGCATTTTTGAAAAAGCACAACTCCGAAGAGTGAAACCTTCTTAGGAAAAGAAAGGTATTTCAAAGCATATCACCTCAGCATGCTAGGAAACTCCGATACACACATGATGAAGCCTGGGCAGTAGCTGGAGCAGAGAGGCTGCCTGGGACATAGCTGGAGACAGGGAATGTCAAGGTTCTAGCTGGGGATGGAGATTCATGTCCTCATCCCATATAGGTCAGTGGTACCAGGGCCCTAATCTATAGCTGCTGAGGACCTATACAGAAGGTGTCTGAGGGCCTCAGGGCCAGATTCTGAGGTCATGCTGATTTTCACTAGCGAGGGAGCTGATCTGGGAAGTCTGTGCTAGGGCAAATAATATAACTTTTTTCTTCTTTTCTGGTTTTTTCCTTTCTTTTCTCTCACATTCCCCCTAAAACCCCCTGAAGTGCCACTCTGGTTGTGTGAGTTTATTGATTTCCCCCAGCCCAGAGAAACAGAAAGAGGGGATGGGGTGCAGGCAAAGGGATGGAAATAGAAAGCTATAAATTATTTGTGACAGGAAAGCAATAGTGCCAGAGTGCTGAGCACAAGTCCCGTGTCACTATTAGATTCCTTTTAGCCTGATGACACTGTAAAAGAGGTTAAGTGTCTGATGGAATTGTACACCTTGGGGGCAGGGGCAGTCCAGGAGCAGAACAAGCCACAGAGAGCGGGTATATCAATTCTCCAGGCCAATAATATTCCCCTCATTGATCGCAACACAAAGTTCAAAAATCTCATTATAGCCAGGCAGACCTGGAACTTTTTAAAAATCAATAGAGTGATATAATGTATGTATACTTTGTATAAATGTATCTATTCATCCATCCATCCATCCGTCTATCCAAAATCTGCCTGAGGGTGTCTGAGTTAACCTACACATTATACTGTGTTATGTTCTATTGTAGTGTAGCATAGCGAATGGATTAGAAGATTTCCCCTGCAGCCTTGGATGACAAATTATGAAACGTCCTGTTAGCACTGAGGTGACGTCAGATGGTTGCATTCATACTGAGATATGACATCAGATTGGCCATTCGTACTGGGAGGTGGCCTCAGACAGCTCAGCTTCTACTGAGAGGAACCATAAGATGAGCCTAATTGTACTGAGATGGCCAATCAGGCTGTGCTGAATCATGCTGCATGAAAATTGCAAAGTTTCAGAAAGCCATTTAGAGTAAAAACAGCCTGTGAAATGATGGGTGGTATAAAATGCCTGTCCAGAATGCTTCAAAAACCCAGTCAGGGGACAAAGAGGAAGGTTCAATTTCCTTCCCTGTTCACTTTGTGGTTTCTCAGCTAAGAATGCCAGTTAGTGCCAGTTGTGACTGTGTTTACTGAGATGCATCCGTTAGGAACTGGAATGAGACTCACCAGCTCATACCACCGAGTAGCCGTCAGCTGGTAATGATTTTCGGTCACTACCAACCGGGGCCAGATTTCAGCTAGTGACCCAGAGGTGAAAGGCGCTGTTCAAAACGTTCCCCTCCTAAGAATGAGACTGGTTTTATGTCAGGAGAAAGTGTCTGGAAACAATAAGCACAGGGGAGCAGTTCTGGTTGTGCAACCTCCAGTGGCTTGGGTCAAATAATTCCTGGCATCAAAGGCACAGCGAATCTAATGAGGTCCCAGGTAGAAGGTATTTCCTATGGCTAAAAGAAGAGGTAGGTCATGAAGAGGCTCTCCCCAGCAGTGCTCCTTTGCCCTGCAGTCATGACTGAACTCTCGAGTTGTAAGGAAAGAGAAGAAATTTCAGGACCCTAACGGTCAGTACAGAATACAGCAGTGCATCTCCTGGGTCAGTTCTGTTAAGGACAGTGATAAACAGCAGGATAGCTAGGCATCACTGCTGCTGCTTTAAGAGGCTTCGAGTGAGTCTGTCCTACACGAGACCACCTAATGAAAGAGAAGATGAAAGATGAACAGAGCTCACCTGGTCCTGTAGCAACAGATGCAGCATAATAATGCTGTCTTTAAACTTCGGGATTGGTGAAAGCTTCTGACCCTTACTGGAGGCTGAAATACGCACTAAGCCAGCTCTGCTGCCTCAAACCTAGGATTTCTGGATTACTACTGTGTAAGAGGGAGCAAAACCTTGATCACCTCCTGCTGCCTTTGATGGCTTGTTCTTGCCTCTAGACACTGGAGAGAGACAAGCCTTTTCGCAGAACTCTTCCTCAGCCCTTCCCAAAAGCAGAAGGGACACAAATCCAGGCACACCAGTCAGCAGAGCTGATTTCTTGAAGTAAATACTGGTATTTTCAAATGTCTGTCTTTTCTCAAAAAGAAATTGTCACTTTGGACTAAATTCATCCCTGCTCTGGGTGGAATTAGATGAATTAGAATTCCATCACAGTCAGTGACTCCAATAACAGCATTTGTATTTAATTAGGGGCATAAACTGGTACCTACTGTAAATGCCCATTTTTCATTTTCCAGTGGGAGGTTTTTGCACAACTTGTCTACTTTGAGTTTCAGAGAATATACACAGATTTAATACCTAACCTTCTGAAGTTTCAGCAACAGGACATTTATAGATCTTTGATTGCAGTAAAGCAACTGAACTTCATTTCACAATCTGAATTTAATATGCAATATTATCTTAAGTAATGGCATATAATGTCATTACAGTACATAGTCTCATACTGTGAATTATACATCCATTCCTGGAATTCATGAGCTACCATAGCTGGCTTGTAGTAACTCTTTCTAGAGTTAATACTGTATACAGCTCCAGCTGAAACCAACTGCCTGTTTCCAAATGCCTCTGACTTTCTTAAACGTTCAGCATTAGATCATGACTTTCCAATGTTTGATTTCTGTTTCGTTATTTTCAGTAGCTTTAGTGGAATTCCTTCTGCTGATTCTGAATACAGATGGATGGAGAAAAATCATCTCTCCTGGTATGACAATTTTAACAAGCACTAATCAACTCTGGTCAAGAATGTAGAAAGAAGTATTAGAAGATAAAATTAGCTGAGCCATAGCCCTTTCTGAGAAGCAGAACTTTCTTTCACTCCTTGTAAATAAGCAAGTAAAAAAATAACTTCTAAACCTGTCCAGAGATTATTTGCTAAAAGAATGACAGATCATAGGAAATGTCCCTTGCTTCGCTGACATTTCTATACAAACTCTCATACAGCCTGACATATTCTGTGGTTTCTCCTCTCTTACTATTGCTGGCAGAGTCTTTAGACAGTATCTCAAATAAAAAATCATACTAGGGATGATCAGAAGGAGATGAGGTAGGTTTGAATCATCTGGAGTCCCAGTCTAGCACTTTTTTCAATCCTGGAAGAACAGAGTGAAGTTGCACTAAGGGAAAAAGTGCTGCCCCAGGGAGACCCTGACACATTTCAGAAAGCACTGGTATCCTCACTTTGATCAGATTTCTTTGTCATGGATTATTTTTCAGAGTGGAAGGATACACTCAGCAGAGCACCAAACTCCTTGTAATTGTTTTGGAGTATTCATATTTTAAATGCTCCATATTAGAAGCACATTACAAGACCCCAGGGTGTGCATTACTGGGCAATTAAAGCGGTTCTTGGAAGGCTAACATTGCGAAGCTTCGGTCTTTTCTCTGCAGTGTGTCCAAGGGAGGCTGTGATGGCCAAGGAACACACACCCCGCTGTGCCGCACTGCTTAATTAGCACAGGGCTGCACGGCTGAGCCACGGGCTGTGCCGCGGTAGAGACAAGGCAGCCGGCGGGGGACTTGGTGCAGGGGTGAGACAGTGATGCCTTCTCTGCATCAGATCGCTTCCCACAAAAGGGCTCATGACCATCCCAGTGATGCTGGCATCAAAGCATACCTGAGGAAAAGAGGGAGAACATG